ACGAAGCCTTCCCCTGCCTCGTGCCGAGATCGCTTGCTTGTGGGTGACGTGAGAGCGGTCCCAGGGGACGCCTGGCTGAGTTGGTACAACTGGCGGGGTTCTGCAGTGGTTTGGGTACGTACATAGGAGGGCCCGGCGTCAATCCTTACCCGCCTGCTGTGAGGATGGGTGGTAGTTCAAAATTAGGACGTGTCCTCCCAAAGCGGGAAAGAGCCACTTTTGAAAGGAAGGCTGTGCCAGAATACTACGGTATTTCGTAATGCCTGTCTTCAGGTAGTGCTATGGATTCTGTATGTTCCTGTGTCTCAGGATAAATGAACGCTTTAAGGCATCACAGAGAGTACCTAAAGCGTGCCTGCCAATGACCTAGTGATTCTGACCGAGGCTGACAAAAACAGCTTGGAAGAGATGTACGCTATCTTTTCTTGTCGATTTCGTTCTGTTCCTGAAAGAACATTTTAAAAATTAATTAATATGGAAACAAGACAGTCTTTTTTTGAGGCTGCTGCTTACCTTTAGATGAAATGTCAGTTTAAGTAATAATGCCACATTGATGATTCTTTAAAAAAAAAAAAATAAAATACTGCTTTCTAATGCCTTAAATAGCAAAGGGCTCTGTGTGTTCTTGCACGGTTTCTTTAGGTGAAAAGGTGGAAGTGAGGCAATTTGGTGGGTGGCGGTGGGGGGTTGGTTGGTTTCAGCTGTGTCTTGACAAATCAACTATAATCCAGACATCTGGGTTTAAGAACTAGGGTTGAAATGCAAAAATTGGTACTCTTCTTAATATAGATCTTTGTGTCTTTCTCAGTCTGGTATTTTTTTTTCAGAACTTCCTACTAGGGTCAGCGGTATTAAAGGCTTCTGTGGCTCATCAGTTCTGCTGGCCGTCATGGGTAACAGCTGATCTGTAAAGGTGCTATGCCCTTATGAAGTCTACAGCATGTGTGTGTGTGCATGTCTTCACTCCTGTGACACCTGAAAAGGGATAGGGTCCTCCAAATCTTACAAAATTTAGTGCCCTCATGGAAGGAAAAGTCACAGATTACTTGCATCACACAAGGAAGGAATTCAGCAGCTTAACTTGCAAGAGGCAGTAGCCAGTTGGGCAGTCATCCCAACCAGCTGGTCAGACTTCCAGTGTCTCGGTGCCTTCGAGTCAGGTGCAGTGCATCTTGCCTGTAACCCAGGTGGATATATATGGGAAATGGGGGGCTGGGAGAGGAATTTTGGCAAAGGCAACAGAGGAAGAGTAGGAACCTGCAGAGGAGCTCCTTGTAAGAAGCCTCATCGAGAAAAGTGTGGTTCTGTTTGATCTGTTAAATGTGTGGGTTGGCTCACTTGAGATATGGTGAAGAGGCTTCATATGCTTGTGAGGCACAGTTTTTGCAGCAAGTATGGCTTGAACAGTGCAACAGAATAGACGGTTTCAGCTGAGGGTCCTCTTGGGAAGGACTGTCGCCTTCATGAGAGGATGCGGGAGTTTTATCTATGTGAAGCCAGGTTTGTGTTATGTTTAGGTTGTTGAGTGATAAACTGACAGTCCTGGCTGAAAACAACTTTTAAATCCATGCCTGGCAGGAATGTGACAACTGTATCAGTAAATAATTTCACCGTGGTTTATCACTGTTTTGTTAATTAAATACATTGCATGGGATTTGTGCATTTATTATTTTAGGATGGTATTGAATATATGGCTCATTGAGCAAGACTTCACACAGAGGACTTGCTGCTGACACTGCAAGAAACTTGATAACTGCTCGTGAGAGCTTTTTATGGTGCTTTAGATGTCAAGGTTTGAGACTTTTGACTCTTCTCTATATATTTAAAAAAATGATACCTGTCCAGTATGAGAGTTTTCTATCTGGATGTCTTTGAGACAGAATGCTTGAGGAGTGTTTGTCTGTATATATGGCTAGATTGCATTGGGTTTATTTGATTCGGTAACTTTCAGAATGGTCACTTTGAACTCAAAAGTCAAGCCGGCTAGCTGTTTCCGTTAGGATGACAGTTAAAAAACAAGGGCCAATCTTCTTTGTCTTTACAGACTTTTGTGTGCTGGAGGGGAAGAGTCAAAAGTATTTAGACTTTTTTTTATTTTTAAGAGGCTGTTTAGTTGTGAACTGCTGACAAAGGCTTCTCTGACCAACAGGTATTTCATGCAATGCTGCCATCGAGTTACTCTGATTCCAGAAACCACACCATGTGATGGCAGAAGTATTGTGTAGATTTGAATCATATTAACAGTTTTCCATTAAAATAAGTGAAATTGGGAATTTCAATTCTGAAAGAGTTGTGAAAAATAATTTGTCATTCATTACTAAAATGCTAGGGTTGTGAAATCCTGAGTCGGTACAAGCTTTTCAGCTTTTAAAATGTTGATTTTGTGGCTTATTCTGTAAATGAAATATATTTGGGCCCCTCAGTGCATCTTTTAAAGATGTCTGTTACAATTTAGCGGTGTTTGCAAGCTCTTATCTGACGTGGTGGTATGGTAGTTTTAGTGCAGCATGTAAAATACAGCTCATATGACAAGTATAGAACATTGTGATCCGTAACAGATCCACTGGATAAATGTGAATCCTCTTTAAAGAGAGGTGGAGAAGTTGCCTGGAATATCCTTTTTGTATTGACATCTCTCGGAATCTTTAGTCCATCACTCCTTTCTCCTTCATGGGTGTATTTTTTCTTTATTTGTAGTTTTGGGGTTGGGGCATGTGTGTGGTGTTTTGGGTTTCTTTTTTTTTTTCTTTAAGAACAGCATCTCCCAAGTGAGCCTCAGGGACCAGAATTAACTTTCCTATTGCTTCCCTATTTGTGATAAGAGGATCAATTAAAGCTTCATCTCTTAACCTCTCAAGGACCTGCTTGGATCCTCTTAGTGACAGAACCAGCCCCTGAGAGCACTCTGACCTGCAGCCAGTTGCTGTTAATGAGCTGAGAAGCAGGCAGGTGAGTCGCAAGTGAAGTGACTTGATGTTTTCTTGACCCTGCGTTGCCTTCCAGGGTCTGCCAGCTGTGCAGGGAAGTGGCTCAGGGAGCTGATCTGGGTTAATTATCACTCTTTGGCTGGGATATCTTTTTTGAGTTAAAAATTCTGCCGTGAGAATATGCTTAAAAAGACAATAAGAAAGGTTAGTGATGGTAGTAAGTATGTCTATGAAGGTTTAAAATGATTGAACTGAATTACAAAATCTGAAGTTCCTACAAAAGCCTTAACTGATACGCTTACTGACTTGATTTGTTCTTGAAGTACATTCATCATGACTCTTGGTTGCGTTACTGATTAAGTTTAGAAAACAGATCTTCAATTTTACGCGCTCCCTCTCCTTTCTGTATGTAACAGTTCCTAGAACAGTCGAAGACTAACAGGATGCCCTAGGATTTATTGTCTGACTCCCTTGCACGGGAAGGAACGTAGCCAAAGCACTCGGTACTTCTACAGCATCATTCTCAACTGCAGTGCTAAATCAAAGTGGAAGTAATCATCTAGAATTGGAGTCTAATGTCAAGAAGACTGAAAGCGTGGCCTGGTAATTTCACCTCCACAGTGAAAAGGCGAGAATTAGTTTGCTTTTGTCTTTAAGAAATGGTGACCTGCCCCAAGAGAAATTTTTCATGGGAAAGGGATGCCTGTAATATCTACATAACTGTAAACCAAAGGTAGGAATGAAAAATTGAATGCGATTGCATGGAAAGACTATTGGATTGAACGGTGTGACGTGCGGAATCAAACTTCACAACTCAAAAGAGTTATAAAGCAGGTATGTTTATTACGGCGCCGGGTGCAAGGGGGATCACTCCTCCAAACCTTGCACACCGCAGGGATGGACATGAGGGTATTTATGACATTAATTCATTCATATGCATAGAGATGTGATCCATATTCATCATGTTACCGAGGAGTGGGGTGGGGTTATTAAAATAAGCCATTACCATATTTCTCCTCCTACTGACGCCTGCGCACTGCTATCTGGTGGTCGCGAGCTGGGGTCTCTTGGAGGAAGGCCCGAAGTCTTCCTCCTTATGAACTTTTCACCTTAGGTGGTGGCGCATGCTCTATGCTCCTTCAGGTCTTGTGCCAACTACTAACCCAGTCTAAATCGGTATACTTTCTCATTAGACAGATTCTTGTGACAGCAAGCATGATATATAGCAAGATGTGTAATACACAGCTGGATGTGTAGATCAGCTGGGCTTGCAATTAGAGGCTATCTCCACATTTTGGGTACAGTAAGCCAGATATACAGCAGGATGTGTAAATAAGCTGGGTTTGCACGTAGAGGCTATCTCTGCATTTCAAGTGACTGATACGTTTTTTTTTAAGAAACTAAAATGTACAAGCCTAAACCTGTTCTTGTGACTCAAAAGGCTGAAAACAGAGTATGTTTATTAAAACAGATCTCAAATAAAGGCCCAAGGTGTTGGATTAGTAGTGTGCCATTCTAGGCATTTGTAGTACTAGCTCAGAAATTCCACTGGCAGGAAGAGCAACATGTTGTTTGGAAAGCTGCACTAAGCTTTCTGAAAAGTGCAGAGCAAGAATGAAAATACTTGATTTTGTAAATTGCTTACATAATTTAAGATTTTATATTACTTTGGTATTTCAAATAATTTCTATTAATGAAGAGTTACTAAAAATCTGTCTTCTCTACCCTGTCTTCCATATACGTTAGCCTTCACCTAGCTTCTTCCTCTGCTTCTCTCTGTTCCTCTAAGTTGGGGTTTTTTTTCCTGTGTAAAGACTAAGCTCATGCATGCTGAAATTTGGGATTCTGGAACTTGTAAAAGTCTGTCCCCATAGCCCTGAAAATACATTGGGTCGTCTTAGTTGCATTTCTATCAGACTTGCTGTGGTTGTATTATATCTGCTTGATTGTCTCGTCCAACGTGGTGTCTCAGAGCACAGCAGCAGGGGGATGATTAGAAGCAAAGGCAGGATTAATCTTTTTAGCTTCAAAGCCCAGTACTTAAAGCATGCATATCCTTGGTTTGAAAAGTACTTGCTTTGGTCTTAAGGCTTGAGTTGTGAACCTGTCAGTCAGATGATTGTTCCTCTTATTTTTCTGCAGAAAAATGTATTCTTTCCTAAGTTACGGTACAACATATCTACTGTC